GAAATTAAGTGTACAATGACAACTAATATGAAACAGAATGAATAGTAATAGCTAAGCGTGCCTATATGATTCATCGAGGTTCTCCATTTACACATAATTTGGAAGTTCCAAATTGGAACCATAATATTAATGAAGTTACTATATTATTCGTTATAGAATAATGATGATGAGGATGTCACGTAGTCAAATTTAGAAAATTAGATTGGGTCTTACTTGAGCTTGTGAACCCATGCTTCAGTTCCACTTGTTGAGCAGATAACATCAAGCTGCGTAATAACCACATGTCAATTTATCTCATTCCTTCAAAACTATTTTATTTCAATAAACAATTGTTGCAATGCAAATGATTTTTCAATCTTTTACATAATTTATTATTAAATTCGACGTTAAGAAACTGATGGGTCTTACTTGTCCATTATATATGGTCACATCTATCCCTTTGGCAAGAAGCGTATCGACCTGCCATTTATGTTTTATCAAAATCTTATAGATAACGTTCATATACTTAAATTAAAAAAGTTTAAAAAAAAAAAACTAAATTAAAAAGGCTAGAAAAAAACTATTACTTACGCCTTCGATTGTAGGTCTCATAAAATCAGCCTCCATTGCTGCAAACACATCACTCGAATTGTTCCCCCATCTGTTAATTTTTTACAAAACAAACATTTATAATATTTAACAATTTTAATCCATGCATTTAATTTAACTAAGTTTGATAGTACTATATAATGAAGGATTAAGAAGTTTGCTTACACGAGGTCTTTGGGAATAATCTTGAGCTTCTTCTTAATAACGCCATTCATTAATTTATCAAGGTCTCCTTCATCCACGTCACTCAAACTTCTCAAATCATTTAAATATCTTGAATACTTTTTTAATATTCTATTTTCTTTTCTACTAATTTCTTCACTCGTAAGCGAGAGAGGGTCCATCTCAGAGTCCAACAGAAAATTGTAAAAGTCCTACATTAAAACAAAATGAAATGTAACCACTCACTTTATCATTGA